GCTCAGGAGGGGTTGGGAGCTGGATGTTGCAGCCCCGCAGCACGGCAAAAGCAGGAGCGAATGCGAGGTGATCAATGCCCCCCTCCCTTCCCAGCCCCACAGCAAGGAGCAAAACCTCTGTGCACGGTCCAAAATACAGAAGAAACAAATCTCACCGGTGTCTGTCAGAGGTAGGTGCAGGCCGCCTCCTGGGTCAGTTTTCATGCTTTGTTAACGCCTGGGACCGTCTGAGTACTGCAATCTGGCTTCAGGATATTGTCTACCATATTCGCCTACAAGCTCCTTTGCCTCTTTTCTCTGTGGATAGGAAAAAAATATATTTTCAGTGCTGCCTCTTTTTCTAGGCAGCACAATAGAAAGTCCTAGTTTCCTCGAGTTGTTTTCCATCCTTTGTGTTTTTGCTGGTGATGCACTGACAGCTCTGGAGCACAGTGCAGCTAGGAGAGTGGAGACCAGAGGTCTGTTTTCAGCAGGTTAATTCTTATTTTTCTTCTCTCAGTCTATAGTTCACGTAAAAACCACTTTCCTACCTTTGTCTTTTAGCACTATATGAATGGTTTTCTTCTCTTGTAAATTAAAATGGAGCGTTCTCTGTTGAGGAACGGTTATGTATTTTTCTTCTTAGTCAGGTATTTAAATATATAAACGTATCTGCCTGTCTTCTGAGTGCTCTGACTTAAAAGTCTCCAGCTCTCTGATTATTTTCTTTTGGGCTCAGTTCATACACCTGTTCCTGGAGACTTGTAACATGGTGTGTCTGGTATAAGCTGTTGGCTGTTATTTTGAATAACTTGAAAACAGGGACAGTCTGTTGCCACCTGCATGTTCGCTGCTGAAATCAAGATCCAAAATGGGACAATCAGCGACATCATTTCCTTCACTGAAGTAAAGCAATCCTCTTGGGACCCTGTACCCACCCTCTGAGAATTGAAAATACCCATCAGGCAATCACCTTTAGAAATCCAAAACCATTTAATTTCTGAAGAGACTGGTTTTAGTTTACTTCTGAATTGGATTTTTGGGGAGACAATTATGGCCCTCAGGCCTTTTCTGTGGCAGGAAGAAGCCCCCTCCAAAAATGTGCTACCTCGCTGGCCAAATCCTGTAAGGAAAACGACCCAGGCCCTCCCCTACCTCCCTCTGTGAGGGGATTTTTATCTCCACTCTGGAGATCATCATTAATCACCTGCCTTCACAGTCCAGCGGCTGTGAGGGTGGCTTCCCTCCCGTCCCTGCCACCCGAGGGGGACACCCGTGAGCGGCCATTTTGGGGTGGAGGGGCTGAAGGCCGGCAGAGCCTGGGGATGGCGACCCCCGGTGCCGTAGCTGCGCGGCCCCTGGTTCAGGCCACGCTGAGGAGAAGCGGGCGGCTCCGGGAACATCGAGTGTCACCGCGGGAAGGCCCCTTCCCGGGGAGGAGGCGGGAAAAGAGGCGAGGTGCTGTTCTCACCCTGAGGGAGCGGCCTTTCTAAGGAGGGAGTTACCGGTATGCGCACTGATGAGGTAAAAATCTCCTCAGAGCGGGGGTGTGGAGGCTGGATAGAGGCAGAAAAGGTTTCGGAACAACCCTGCGTAGGTAGGAAGGACCGGTCAGGGTGCTCAGGGCTTTCCTCGTTTCCTGCCGCAGAGGAGCAGGTGGTCGCCTGCGGCAGCCATTTTGTTGGGGCTGGGCCGGGCCCGGGGCTCTCGGCACCGGCTTGGTCTCTTTCGCCGCAGGGAAAACGCAGGGCGGGGGGCTGACAGGGTCTGTCCTGGTTTAGGGAAAACGGTCCTCTCGTCGTGGCGCAGTTGAACTTCCAGGGGCTGCTTTGTGAGGGTTGGAGGCTGTGTTTTCACACTAAGGAAACATTTCTGATGCTCAAGATTGGGGTCTGTGATAAAGGGTTCTTTTTTCCCCCCACCCTTAAGTGCCCTCAGGAAGGACCGGAGGTGTTCTTTTTCAGTCAAATTGTATATTGAAAACGTCAAATTATCTATGGGACAGACATTGCTACTGCAGCTATCTCTGATGTACGGTCTTCCAGTGGACCAGTCACACAGGAAAATCTAAATAATGCAAATAAAGCCCCATCAAATACCATCCTGCTCAAAGCTACCCCCAAGTAATAATTTTTTCTTCATTTTCCACCCCTTTTTTTGCCCCCTGAGGAGCCAGACTTGTTCCCCAGGGGTTATTCATAGCAATAACACTCCCAAAACTCAAGACATAAAAGTCTAGACTGCCCCCAGACTTAAGTTTCTCTTTTCTTTTGGCCATACTTTTGAAAGTGCTTTTGTGAGGAAAAAGTCTGCTTGGACTTCAATCAAACAGATTGGGATAAAAAACAATTATAGATGAGATGAGGGCAGATGTTTATAGAAATATCGTCTTTAGAGTTTCTTGTAGAAAGATTCTGTATCTGGAAACGTGGTAGGAAAGTGGTGGTGTGTATGATTTGTCACTTAATTGTTGAAAAACTTAACAGGAGATGCTAACAAGTACTTAACAAAAGCTTGTATCTCTGTTCATCCAGACGAAACAAAGCATCAGTCTTTACAAAGAAGAGAAACTATCTCCTTCAATAGCGTTTAATTCTTTCTGCAGTATTAAAGTTGGATAGACAAAATTAATTTTTTATGACATAAAATTGATTCTTAATATATTAGGAAATAAGGACACATCTTTTTCTTCACAGGTGCTGTTACAAAGAGCAAGAATATTCAGAGATTAAGGTAGTACACAGATTTTGTTACTAGGTAAATTCGTGTACTTGCTATCTGTTGTTGAAGTAAACAGCACGCTCACTGAAAATGGAAGCCAACAGGTTCCTAAGGTGTAGTCTGTTATACTGATGTGACAGAAAGTGACAAAATTTGAGGATATGGGTCCCAAAAGTACTCTACAGTGAATTACGCTGGTAATTTAGTCTCAGGAGCTTCATTTCTATCCACAGTGGAATGAGTTCTTCCTGATGGGAATGGGATTTCTTCAGAAATATCAGGATACAGTATGGCCCTTTGATAATGAATTTCCAGGGACCCAGGGTTCTACCTACTGTTAGATTCAGAATCATTCAATATTGGAAAAGTGGTACTTGTGAAATGTAGTAATTTTTTTTTTCCTCTAGAAAACATTGCTTGGATTTAGTGATTTTTATATACAGTTGTGTATCTATACTTGAAAATTTCAGGCTGACAGACTCCTCAGGGTGCTTTTTGCCATGCTGCACAGCTGTCTTTGCATCTGTGTCCTCTGATCTTTTTATCAGTCAAGTTATAGAATGAAAATCTAGGTTTCTTAGGATGCATTAATACAAGTGCAGAGGTGGCATGACAGCTACAGTGCACAAAGACAGGGACTTGTTGCATTGTGAAAAAAAAAAAAAGTGCTACGTGGACAAAAATCAACTGTGCATGTTTTAATTGGGCCATTTGTGAATGTCGCGGTCCTGCTATATACGGACAACTGAGTTTACAGTAAATGACAGAGCGCTGCTCTCCTTCTGATCTCATATGCCTCCCTCACCTGTAGACTTGCCACTTTAAATGTTTCTCCATAATTTTAGATTCCTCTTTGTTGCTCAAGTATTTTTTCTTCATGTTTCCTCTTAGTGTTCTTCTGTTTACAGCTTGGAGGTGAACAGCCAAAACTTGCCTATTACTCTCACTTAGCCTGGGCTTATTTCTGGTTTGGTTACAAAAATTCCTTTTGCCTTTTTTTTTCCCCCTTACCTGTCTCCTTTCTTTGGATACACACATTGTCCTCCTCCCAGGAATGTAGGGGATGATCCATTCCAATAAAGTAAGATGGTGTGAATCCCTTCTTCTGTGCTCAAGGTGTTTACTCTGATTCTACAAGTTTTCTGGGATATTTCTTACTCTGCCTGTAAATGAATTATTTGACAGATTTCTGTGGGTTTGATTGACCATACAGTTACAGTTTTGTATCAGTAAGGTGGCATTTTACTGGCCAGCTACAAGAACAAATATGGAAATAAAAGGAAATTCCTTTTCTGAAGATAAACCAATTTAGTTTGGATTGTTTGATGAAGTGTTGTTTTACTTGTTTGAACTTCTATACATTATGCCTGCTAGTGGTAAAACTCGAGAGTTCAGTTGACTACAGCAGAGCTGCAGCAGAAGATGTGGCACTGTATTGACAAATCTAAGTGCAAACCAGGAAAATACAACAGTGTTACCAAATAAATTATTTGGTTTCACTTCTCTTTTCAGTTATTCTTTACAAGTTGCATTTGTGACGCAGTGCAGTTGGATACTTTTTTGTATTCAGTCCTGCCTTTTCAGCAATTGTTTCTATGTGCTGTTCTGCAGGGAGGCACTGGAAAGACAAACAAAAGAGGCTCTGAAACTCCGTGAAGAAGCTACCAAATTCCCTGTGGAGTCAATGATACTTTCTTTGAGTCATGAGGAATCTTTAGCAAGTCACAATATGCCTAGCTTGGGCAAGTATTAAACAGATTTCAGAAAAACATTTGGGAGTAAATCACTACAAACATTGCAGACTATTATGTGGTTTAGAAGGGTGCTCATAAGTTCATATTTGATATTTCGAGTTAAATCCTCTTTAGGCGCTGTATCTTGAACAGCTCTTGTTGATGCAAGCCCAAGGTAAAGGCAGAGCAGTTTTGAAGTATGCTCAACGCTGTGGCATTCCTCAGCCGGTGTGTAACCCTAGAATTGGTTGGGTTTGTTGTCCTTAGAATTCTAAGATGTTTCCTAGGTTCGAATACCTATAGATAGGCACTGAAAGGCAGCAGTGCCCTTGGCACTAATGCCAACTTTGCACAGGTGACTTTATTCTCATGTAAGGACTTTTTTCAACACTTAAATTTATCTGCCTTTCAGGTGCTGCTACCCCATTTCTCAGCAACTGGAATGTAGCTTCTTCCATTCTCAGCACAGTGATGGAAAACTCAGCCTCTTCTAGTGCTGGTAGCAGTCCATCCAATAGTGTGTTCTGTTCCAGAGATTAAATACATACTGGTTGTAAGTAAAAAAACATGAGTAGTCCTGGCAAGGACCACGTGGAAGATGTTGTGGAAGAATACTTGCAGAAAGGTAGAGATGTGCAGAAGAGACTGGATGAAGTGAGTTGCAAATTTGGGGTAGCTTCTTAAGTATGGAGGAGCTTTTGTAATTTTTGTCATTGCTGTGTCTTTGGACAGTTTTGCCAGTGCTATTTTGAGCAGGATATTGGCTTCTGTAAATTGTACTTGGCCATCATGACTCCCACGTGCCATTTGATAGACAAAAATAAGTAATGAGTAATAATGGTTTTGGCATGATCCATGTAACAGTGTTCCATGCATAGTTAGTCCACCCCAGCACAGTGGGACTACCTGGTTAGCTAAGAAATATTAAAAAACAAAACAAAAATAGCCTTTTAATTCCTGTACTTGTGCTGCTCTCAGCTTCTTCATTTTGGGTTATGTATTCAGTATTTTGGTAGGTTTAGCTTGGTTGTTTGGGTTTTTTCTCCTTTAGACCACTGAGCTACATGAGCAACAGAAAATCAATTTAAGACTGATCATTGCTGATTTGGAGACCAAACTGATGGAAGTAAAACTGGAAAGAGATGTGCTTCAGGATACCAGGTATGACGGCCAAGACAGATGTATTATGGAGAGTCAATGTATGGGCTTTGAGAGGCTCTGCAGATCTTTGACATGAGAAAGTGGCCCTCAGGAATGAAGACAATGAGACTACAGCACCTTGGCTTACAAAATGGCTTATTATGTAATTGTAAAAAAAGCAATTAATCAACCAAAGTATTATACCTGTTAGCCAGGATAAAAATCTGTCTTGTGAATCCTGTTTTCTAAATTATTTCTTTGGTTTCCATGCTTAGACTAAAAGAATCTCAGAGCCAAGAGAATGTAAAAATAGAACTAAAAAATACTATTCAAGAGCTTAAAGTTGCCAACCAGCTGCAGGAGGAGATGCTGAAGGAGGCTGACAGCGAAACTGAGCATCTGAAAAAGATGGTCCACAGCCAGGAGGAGGTACTTCTGGAACTACATGGCATCCTAATGGACTACAAAGACAGCACAGGCAAGAAACATTATGAGCATGAGAATATGACTAGCCTCCACATCCACAGCCTGAGCACAGCATTTGCTGACATCTTGCAAGATTTAGACTCAGAGGTGTCATACCTCAAAGAAAAGCTTGTCCTGGTATGTGGAAAAAGTGCTTCTTTTCCTTCCAACATTCTGTGGGATTTTTTTTTTAGAAAATATTTTTTAAAACTCCCTGAGTTCCTATCTAAACTGACCTAAGGAAGTGGTTATGGCATAAAGAGGTACAAATGCTGTTTTGCAGTTAAGGTGGCAGGTGCTGGTATGCCAGGCTGCTGCACTGTCCCCAACTTGAGATTGGGTTTATTGCTAGAATTTAAACTGTATTGTGCACATCTTCACAGTTCAAGGTGGAAGCAAAAGGAAAAGAATAACACTTTGAAAACTACTGTTTAGACAGTCTTCAGATGCTAGCTTTGTTATCTGTTTACAATAGGTGGAAGAAGAACTGGAGTCATTGAAGAAAGATTCGCAGACCCAAAGACAACTTCTGCTTCAGCAACATCAAAATAGGTACCTGTTCTCCATTTATTTATTCATAAAACATACATAGAATGTTTTTCATGTGTTCCAAAGATTATTCTTTGGTAATGATTATGATAACGGGGGGGTTGACAACATCTGGGGAGCAGCAAGCCATATTCTTGAGGACTTAAGATGCCTATTTGCTCTTGGTTTTCTGTCACCTTTTCCTTTCATGCTGACCATTTCCAGTTTTATTCACCGCCTCAAAAAATATATTTTGGAAGAATGTGCACAGAAATAGTGCCAGTATGATGATGTGCATTTTTTTTCTCTAAGCTTTAATATGCATATTATCACCTTTTTATTTTTTCATTGACCTCAGAGTATCAGGGTAGCCTTTTCTGGTGGCAGAGTGGTTTACAGTATTATAGTATTTTTCAGTCACAGCTCAAAACGTGGTTAAGCTGTTTGTTCAGAAGCTCTGTTTCTCTGACTCTAAAATTAGAGTACTTGGTCTTCTGTACTGGGAAGGCTAAGCTCGCTACTTGAGGTCTTCTAATGACCTTTTGATAAATTTTCTTGACCAGGATTATTAGTGTGCCTTACTCTTGTAAGTGTGTTCAGTCACTTCTGCTCAAGTGGATGTCTGGAATTTGTTGGGAGACTAGTTCTACTATTAAATGAAAAGAAAATAATGAAGGTAATCACTTCGGTGATTACATCAGCTTTTTCTTACTGATTTAATTAAGAGCTTTGTCCTTCCTTGTTCAAGAAGTCCTAATTTCCCCGTCTATCTACCTGAATTATACAGTAACCTGTTCAAAATAAAAGGGTAAATAACTCAATACATAACATTTCATTCACAATAAAGCATCAAAATGATTATGTTTCTGACTACTGAAAAATATCATTACCTCTGCAGTGGAGAACTGATTATTTGCCAAGACTAAAATTATAACCAGTGTTTTCTTTTTAAAACAGGATTGAGCAGCTAGTAAGTGAGCATGAACAGGAGGTGGCAGCACTAGCTGGTAGAGCTCACAGTGCACACCGCTATGCAAATAGTACCCAAAGCCAGATGCAGATCATTCAGTATGGGTTTTGATTATAGTACAGAAAATGTTAAGAGTAACCTTAATTTGAGGAAAAGCCTTTGCTGGTAGTATACTCTACTCTCTGCCCTAGTCTTTTGGTTTCTTACTGTCTTTGTTTAAAGTGTTAAGCAGTCCTTGCATAAATTATGGAATGAATAAAAAAAACCCCAAGAAACCATGCTATATAAAGGAGGGGCAAAATGGTCGTACATTCGGCAAACTTGGAGAACTGGGAGAGTCACAGGCTCATTTTGTTCTCAGTCTGCTGCTCTTCAGAAGAAGAATGTGGCCAGCAAAGTCAGTGGAAGTTCAAACTGTGCCTTGAGCTATCAGCTCTGTTCTTGCCACCAGCTTTTGGAATGACTAATCTCTGGTGTCCCTCTGAGTTCTGAACAGTTTCTGCAGAGTACCTGGCTAGAGTTAAAGGGTGAAAGAATATATAAACTAAGAGCTGTGGCTGAGTGCAGTTTTATGTGGCTGTATTGCCCCATGACCTTTGTCTTCCACACATTCAGTGGATTCAGATACAAAATTCATTTCCAGCAATGTTATCAATTGAATCAAATGTTTGCATGCTTGTACAAATAGTAAGAAATGGTAATTTTAAAGAAAGGGTTATCTTCATTTGGTACTGTTGACTTTGGGAGAATAAGAATAAAAAGACATTCCCACAAGCCACTCATGACTTAGAAATCAGTACTCAAGTTATCAGTTAAAAAAGGACATGCTATACAATGTTACAAACATAAGAATTGAATTTCAGTATGTATTATATCTGACTTGCATAGTTGAGACTGAATAGCTGATAGAAAAATGCTTCTCTGTTCTGCTTGTAGAATAGTTGGGCTGCATTTGAAAACGGACTTAACTTTCGTAGAACTTGCTTGAGGATAAATGAGTTATGAGGAATAAAAAGCATTAAGATTTCAATTTATATTATGTGAGGTGGCTCTTGGAGAGCTGACCAGTACGAAGGTGTAATTTTTATGTGATGTCACTGGGAACGATCATCATACTTTCAAGCAGTAAGTTTCAGTAGTCATACTGATTACAGCAAAAACAGCCACAATTGTTTCATGCTTTCAGAGTTTCTACCATTTCTAACTTCTCCATTTAAAACATTTCTTAGAGAACAAACAAGAAACCAAAATTCAGTGCATGCACATCAAGTTAAACATCTGGAATCCACAATTTCTCAGCTGCGTTCTGAATTACGAGAAGCTAAGAGGATGTATGAAGACAAGGTGTGTATGGATTCATGGGTTAGGATTAGTGCCAGCTAAACTGGCTATGTGGATACAGGAAGTGTTCTGGATAGATAAGGAAAGTCTTTTAGCAAGGGATTGCTTCAGAAAAACTCTGTGAATGATAAGATAAATTACATTATCTCTAAATCTGTGTGTATTGCTTTCAAGAACAAGTTGTATTTCTCTAACACAAAACCGTGTTGCAGAATATATTGAACGTGACATGGTTTTGCAGAATGTATAGAGAGCATACCATAAATTATGCTTTCTGGAAATCCATAAAATGGTTCTGCATTACAGACACCACTTGCACATGCAGGACAAGAACACTATTCCGCTATACAACTAGAGAATATATCATTAAAAAAAAAAAAAGAAAAAAGGCAATAATAATAGCTTCTTATTTAAGTCATAGAGCCCAGAAAAAAAGTTTTGCTAACTTTGTCTTGGTACATGCAAGGACAAGAGAGCATAGAGATTACAGCAGCGCTTGAAAAGTATTCAGGTGCCTGGAGAGATGCTCCAGTGTGAGTTAAGAATCTTAACATTCATTGAAATCCATAGGCTTCTTCTCAGCAGGATATAATATAAGCAAAAAAAGAGAGGCTGGCCAACACCTGTGTATTCAAACCATTTCTTAATCCCATTAGAAAACACTAGTCTTGACAAAATTTTTTTTACCACACTTCTCCTTGAAGACCAAACTTTTTCCAGGTAGTACAGCAGGGAATTATTGCAGACAAATGGAGAGAACTTCTTACAGTCCCTCCACAGAATGTCTGCCATGTCACTAACCACAGCATTTCATATCGCCTTTCCATATTATCTCTGTTACGTCTTTCACTTATTTCACTGCTTTGGATTCCAGTTTTATAAAAACGGTTTTGATATCTTTAAATTCTTCCTTATTTTTGGTAAGAGATAATTCATGTTCTCCTTAGAAAATTACCTGAAAATAGTTGCTCTTTGCTCCTTTTAAAAATTAGTGGAGCTAACCCATGCAGAAAGGCTTGATGGATCCAAATCTATCTTAGATTACAAGTCGTCAGGATTTAGGCATCCTTCTCCTGTATACTGTTGGAAAGGGAAAGTTCAAGTCACAGAAATGCCCTGGAGTTTGGCAGAGCTGATAGTCTCTGATCCAAAAAGAATCTGAGAATGGAATGGCAGGGATGTGGCTGGTCATGCCTCTGGAGCCGGGGTGTACGTGTGCTTGGACTGTGAAGCAGAGCAGGAAGGACAGGGTGTTTTACTACTTCTGTAGGTTTCAATATGTTTAAATTCCGTTGATCGGTGTATCAAAAGTCACACTAGTCAGTTTCAGAAGTGACTTTTCACAGCATCGTAGCTGCACTGTGGTGACTTTATAAATTAATCTTCATTACTGCGTTTCATCCTCAAGGAAGAGTACAGTATACAGCGTGCTTTTCTGTTAGGTCTAGTTACCTGAATTCTTTTGGTTTAAATCGAGCAGTGCACAGGATAAGGTCATATCACATATACAGCTGTAACTGTAGTGTATGTTCCTTAGGCATGCTCCCTTTCAGAATGCTTACTTCATAACAGATGTAAAATGGGAAGCTGGGAATCAGTTTCAGGCTATTTTTTCTGGAGTCTGCCAAGTCCAGAAAATGTTGGTTCCATGTAGCTATAAAAGCGTATACTACTTGGTCCAATAAAAATTTATTTTGAACACGAAGTGTAATATAAATTGCTAAGATAGACTTCAGTGAGAGACAAGCTGATATCTGGAGATCATTTGATCTCAGGCTGTTGTGTGGAGTCATCCCCAGGAAGGTGTGGGAGAGGGTCTAAATAAAGCTTTTACAACTCCATGTCTCTCTTTCAAAGCAAGCATTCCTCCGCAGCCTCTCTGGTAGGATAACACCTTAGCAACTAAAATTTTCAAGGCAATAGGTGAAAACTAAAACCAGTATAAGGTGTTGGTACCAGATACTTCCAGCAGTCAGAAAATCTGGTGGTTAACTAGTGGATATAAACGTATGTATGTAAGTGTTCCGTTTGGATATGCCCGTGTTCATATCTTTCTGTTTATTAAAAAGGGTTGCACACTGGCCTGTCATCTCATACACTGACAGAACTTGCATCCTTTCAG